CTCAAGCTGTTGCCCTGGGCAGAGCCATGGCATTACAGCTCACAGCAACCTCCAACTCCTGGGCTCAAGAGATTCTCCTGCCTCTGCCTCCCAAGCAGCTGGGACTACAGGTGCCCGCCACAATGCCCAGCTACTTTTTTTGGTTGTAGCCATCATTGTTGTTTGGCGGGCCTGGGCTGGATTCAAACCCGCCACTCTAGGTGTATGTGACAGGCGCCTGCCACAGGGCCCAGCTACTTTTTTTGGTTGTAGCCATCATGGTTGTTTGGTGGGCCTGGGCTGGATTCAAACCCGCCACTCTAGGTGTATGTGGCTGGTGCCTTAGCCACCTGAGCCACAGGCGACGAGCCAGCCCTAAAGAATTTTGATCTTGATAATGTAGAACTCAGATACTTTTTAGTAGCAATTGTGTTAAACATAGGAACTTGCAAAAGAAATAATGATAAATAAGTAATATCTACTTAAAAGCACATATATTTTATAAAAGTATGTCCCTAGAAAGTAATATGAGAGGCTTGGCGCCTGTGGCTCAAGTGGCTAAGGCGCCAGGGTTTGAATCCAGCCCAGGCCGCCAAATAACAATGACAGCTGCAACCAAAAAATAGCCGGGCATTGTGGTGGGCACCTGTGGACCCAGTTACTTGGGAGGCTGAGGCAGGAGACTTGCTTGATCCCAGGAGTTGGAGGTTGCTGTGAGCTGTGATGCCACAGCACTCTCCCCAGGAGAACAGCTTGAGACTCTGTCTCAAAAAAAAAAAAGAAGGAAATATTAGAAAGAAAAGAAGGAGAAAGATTAGATTTTAATCTTCCCTTTTAGTCTCATTGAGAAACTAATATATAAGATATAAAAAGAAAGGAGTATAATATAAGGACTAGATTGTTTAGAATAAAAATGTACATAGAAGTTTGGTTTCTGGAGCCCTTCGTGTTTTTAGAAGTTATTGAGGACCTCAGAAAACATGTATTTATGCACGGGCTATAGGTGCTGTCAGTATTTACCATAATCCCCAAACCTTTCATTAATGCAGGTTATTTGTTCTGTCAATAATTTATATTATTAGAAATAAAACTGAGAAAAAAATTTAAAATGTAGTCCTGTACAGTAATAATAAACACAATTTCATACTAACATGGATTTTTTTTTTCTTTATAGAGACAGAGTCTCACTTTATTACCCTAAGTAAAGTGCCATGGTATCACACTGCTCACAGTAGCCTCCAACACCTGGGTTTAGGCGATTCTCTTGCCTTAGCCTCCCAAGTACCTGGGACTACAGGTGCTTGCTACAATGCCTGGCTACTTTTTTGTTGCAGTTTGGCCAGGGCTGGGTTTGAACCTGCCACCCTCGGTATATGGGGCCGGCACCCTACGCACTGAGCCACAGGTGCTGCCCGCTAACATGGATTTTTAAAACTTTAATTAACAGTAATTTTTTTTTTTTTGGTAGTTTGGCGGGGGCTGGCCACCCTCTGTATATGGGGCTGGTGCCTTACTGAGCCGCAGGTACCACCCAACAGTAATTTTTTCTTAAGAAACAGTATTTCACTGTGTCACACAGGCTGAAGTACAGTGGCATGATCATAGTTCACTGCAGTCTAAAACTCCTGTTTCAGCTTGCTGAGTAGCTGAGACCATTGGTGCATGCCACTATCCCTCAGATTAGAGAGATGGGGTCTTAATACATTGCCTTTGCTGATCTTGAACTCCTGACTTAAAGTTATTTCAATGCCTCAGGTTCCTGAGTCTCTGGGGTTCTAGGTGTGAGCTAGAATACGTTTTTAACAAAAAAATAATTTTTCCAAGCCAGGTGCTGTGGGTCACACCTGTAATCCTGGCACTCTGGAAGGCTAAGGCAGGTGGATTGGTTGAACTGAGGAATTTGAGACTAGCCTAAGTAGAACAGGACCCTATCTTTACTAGAAAAATTAGCCAGGCCTTATCTTAGGTGCCTGTAGTACCATCTGCTTGGGAGGCTAAGGCAAGAGGGTTGCTGAAGCCCAAGAGACAAGTTGCTGTAAGCTGTGGTGCTACGGCACTCTACCAGGAGCAAGAGTAAGACTCTGTCTCAAAAAAAAAAAAAAAAAAAAAAAAAAACTTTCTAAAATATAAAACACAGAAAAGTGGCATTATTTTTATATTTTTGCAAGTTTCTGCCTTAGTTTAAAAAGACAGCTGAATTCTCATCTTCTCAAATTATATTTTGTTGAGGCATATGAAACAAATCAACCTTCACAACATTTGTAGTTATAAAAGTGAGGAGTATTTTAATAGCCTTTTCAGATATTACGGATGTGGTCCTTTGGTACTACAGCAAATCTTAAAGTTTACGTGGAGTCTGAAAACACATGTACAAACTGTTTGCACTTTGTTACATTAAACTCCATTGGGCTGTCCTCTGTTTTGAATGGATCTTCTTACCCATGCATGATTTTGTGACATCATGAATTGATCAATTGGAAAACAGTGGTTTACTGAGTTATAACAGATCTTCCAAACTTGGCATATTACAAATTATCAAAAACTATCACATTTGTTAATATCACCACCAATCTCAACATAAAAGTTTCTAAGTATTGAGAAGCAGGCAGGCCTACAGTGAATGAATATAATGGTTAATGTGTTTTCTAAAATTACTATTTTTACTTAAAAACTTGTTTTTTGGATTTTTGGGGCAGGTGAGGCAGAATTTTTCTCTATTTCCATGGCTACAGAGTGGCGGTGTCATCTTAGCTCACAGCAACCATAGACTCCTGGGCTCAAGCAATCCTACTTCAGCCTCCCAAGTAACAGCAACTATAGGAATGGACCACCATACTGGGCTAATTTTTCTTTACTTTGTAAAGGCAAGGTCAGGGTGACCCTGGACTCTTGGCTTTAAGTGATTGGCCAGCCTCAGCCTCCCAAAGTGTTAGGATTACAGACATGAACCACTGAAAATTTGAATTTTATAAACACTGTTTTCCTTGAATGTCTGCCATATACCTAAGTGTAAATAACCATAGTTTGTTTGATACTTGTGAAGATAAAAACAGTATTTATGAAAAGAACAGCTCAGAAAACTGTTATATAAATGCTTTTTCCTTGAGACACCCATTCTAGTTTGGTGTGTAGCAGAAGTGCTTTGAATACTTATTGTTTCATTGTAAGAATATTAAAACGTATTCAAAGGTGGAGACTTAATGAAATTATTGCTTCATCAAGGACATTCTTAACTTGAAGTGGCTCTTTTTAAAAATGAGAGTGCCTCAGTGAAGAATAGTTATTAGTAGCTTAATAGTACTGTTTGTTGCCACTACCTTGATTCATGGTAGAGTGTCAACAGTCTTACCCTACCACTGCTTCTGTACTGTCAGTGCAAATGTCCACACAGTGAAAAAGGCACAAATGAAATCTTCATACTTTTATAAATATAATTTTGACCTCACAGATCCCCAAGAGGATCTCAGGGATTTCTGAAGGTTCACAAATTACAGTGTGAGAATCTCTCATTCAGAATAAAGAATGTTTTAGATTCTAAGTAGTAAGGAAGATGAGTTGAAAGAGGAGCCATTGAAGACACATAAAGTGTGGGGGAAGGATTGCCTGAAGTTCTTATAAAATTTGTGTGTGTACATCTGTTCGTTTTACTTGAAAGAATTGCCATAGCTTCATCAGATTTTGAGAGGCCTGTGCCTGACATAATTTCCTACTTTTTAGGTTATGAACTATTTTTTATATTATAGTAATGACAAAATGAAAGAGCTAGGAATTAAGATGGTCATGTTAGATGTATTGGAGAAATGGAAAAGATGCTTAGTAGTAATCTAAGCCTGCAATTATAAGGACCTCAATCCTGGTCTAATTCTTAGAAAGAAGTAGACATAGGAAAAAAGCATTAGTAAGTAGATGCTTGACATGGGGGATGAAGAAGTCGTGAAACTTATTAGGTAGAGCTCAGTGAGGCTGTTAGCAAAAATCGAGAAGTTGCATTTGTAGTACTAGGGAGGCTGAGGATTGTTTGAGGCAGCAGTGAGCTATGATTATTCCTGTGATTAACCAATACTCTCTAGGGTAACAGCCAGATTTTATCTCTTAAAAGAAAAAATAGGGTATGGAAAATCCTCAAAGACTCAAATTAGACTTCCTAATTTGATCCTGCAATCCAGTTACTAGACATCTGCCCAGAAGAAAAAAATCCTTTTATCATAAGGACACTTGTACTAGACTGTTTATCACAGCTCAATTTACAATCACCAAATGTGGAAACAGCCTAAATGCTCACTAATCCAGGAGTAGATAACAAGTTGAGGTATATGTATACCATGGAATAAAAAAGGTAGATACTTACATCTTTTGTATTAACCTGGATGGAGGTAGAACACGTTCTTCTTAGTAAATCATCACAAAAATGGGGAAGCAAGAATCCAATGTACTCAATTCTAATACGAAGGCAGTAGATGAGCTAGTACAAGGGGTGGGGCAGGGGAATGAGGTAGTGGGCAGGAAGGAAGCTACCTCACTGTTTCTGGCATACCTCTTGGGGGCAGGACACAAGTGTAATGCAGTCAGTATAACTCAATTCTTTGCATCTTCAGTGAATCCCAAACAATAAAAAAAAAAATTAAAAAATAGGTAAGTTGAGATAATTTTACCAAAAAACTGTACAACCAAGATTTGCTTATTTTATCTGGTGGTTTCTGATCAGAATTACCTTTATTTAAAAAGGATTAGAAGAATGAAATAATTAACGTATTTTCATCCTGAAATGGTAACATAAAATTTCTCCACATTTTTTGGGTTTTTTTGTGAGACAGAGCCTCAAGCTGTTGGCCTGGGTAGAGTGCTGTAGCATCACAACTCACAGCAACTTCCAACTCCTGGGCTTAAGTGATTCTCTTGTCTCAGCCTCCCAAGTAGCTGCCAAGCTCCCAAGTAGCTCCCTGCCACGCCACCTGGCTACTTTTTTGTTGTAGCTGTCATTGCTGTTTGGCAGGCCCGGGCTGGATTTGACCCCATCAGCTCTGTTGTATGTGGCTGACACCTTAGCTGCTTGAGCTATAGGCACCGAGCCTAAAATTTCTCCACATTATATTAAAGTGGTTAAAATACATTTATTTCGAATAGATGCAGGAGGCTGGGTGCAGAGGTTAATGCCTATAATCCAGTACTTTGGGAGGCTGAGAAAGGAGGATCACTTGAGCCCAGGAATTCAAGTTTACAATGAGCTAAACTGGCCACAGCCTCTAGCTTGAGCCACTGGGCCATGTACTCTAGCTTAGGCCACAGAGCAAGAAGCTGTCTCTGAAAATGAAATAAAACATTTGCAGTATCACATTATTTTATTCTTTCACATACTTGTTATAAGCATTACATGTTTGTTATTGAAAAATTAGAAAAAAAACAGTTGAGCAAAAGGAAGAAAAAGAATAAATTATACTCCTTCACCCAGACTGGTTACTGAACTGTTTAGCCTCTTTTTTATGTATGTTATATACCATTTTTAATGGACATGGATTTATTCAGTATTTGTTTATAATGTCACTATCATATGTCAGGGACTGTGCCTTACTGTGCATACTTTGTTACATATTAATATCTTTTTTGTCAAATGATGTGCTAGATTTGGGGGGAGTCACATGATACTCATATAGATCTAATTTATTTATCATACTTCTGGTTCTTTTTCTAGTTTTCAAATGTTTTAAAGAATTTGGCATGCTTTAAAGGTTATCTATTTTTGTGGGTTTTTAACTACTTATGTTTATGAAGTTCCTTTTATTTTCAGTTAAAAAATTAATTTTTTTCTCTTTGTTTCAGTACAGCTATTGGAATCAGATGTAAAGATGGTGTTGTCTTTGGGGTAGAAAAATTAGTCCTTTCTAAACTTTATGAAGAAGGTTCCAACAAACGTCTTTTTAATGTTGATCGGCATGTTGGAATGGTAAGGTCATATTTTAAAATATTCCTTTTTGTATTATCCAATTTGTTTTGAAGTAACTACTGGAATAAATTAGTGAGCAGCCACAATAATAATGAGAGTGAGTTATTAGGTTATTTTGGACAGTTCCTTGTCCAAAAGAAAGGTAGCATTCTCATAATCACTGCTGAGAGAGATGTGAAAAATCAAGTTGTTTTGAGAAAATAGGAGAAGGAGAGGAGAGAGTAGTACATATCTTGGCAGCACAGATTACCAGTGAAGGTTTATGCTTGAGAGGCAAAGAATCTTTAGCTTTCTATATCCCTTGTGGGGATTACTGAAGGTGCTATCAGGTAGAGAACATGTTCATAGTAAGGTGAAGAACCAGGAAAGGATGTTTAATGGAAGGGAACATGCACATATCCTTAATAGCTTTATAGATAACACTGGGACTGGCATCTAAGCTGAGGGATAGCTTTGTACAGCTGCAAGCGAAGCCATAAATACACCACTGGTATATTCTAAAGTTATGAGTGTCAGACCTTGCTTAATAAGAACCACCACCAAAAAAAGGAATGGAATGTTTAACCTTGCTATCTGAAAAAGAAAGGAAGAAAAGAGAACACATGTGTGCTAGGGACTGTGTGGGGAGCTGTGTACATAAACTATTTTGTTTCATCTGGACAGCCCAGTGGAGGTAAGATTAATGCCATTTTTACAGATGGCAAATCAGATGCATAGCTAGTAGATAAAACCTGGGATTCACACTTGGGTCTACATGTTATTCCAGAGGCTACTGTGCAGGCTGATGCCCTGTAGGACCCACTTCATTTACCTGATTGCTTGATATTAATAAAGGAAATGTGCGACACACACAAACAAATAGGACTGATAAAGTATGAGCAGTAAATCATAAAGCTAATTTTCTTCTGACTTCTTTAAAGAATTTTTTTTTTTTT